AACCATGTCCCAAAAATCACGGTCCCAAAAACCATGTTTTTTCAAGAGGCAACTGGATTTTCCCGTTTTCTTTGAAGATGTTTTGCTTCTCATCCAAGAAGCTTCTTCAATTCTGACTGGGTGGTGGGGAATGGCAATTGAACAACCCTCTCTCAACGGAGGGGAGAGGGACAGGATATCATCTATCTACAACACAGTCCTTCCAGCAGGTCCAAGGAGGCGCCATACTCATTTCCACCACTCAGGTGGCCCTAAGGACACAGATAAACCTCCAGGTAGCCTCAAGGACCCTCTAAAAGGATGCAAATGATCTGCCAGGAATATAAATCCTTCCCTTCCCCACCATCCAGCCATAGCTGAAGAAGCTTCTTGGATGAGAAGCGAAACGTCTTCAAAAGAAAAACCAGAAAGTCCAGTTGCCTCCTGAAAAGGCACCTTTGGGACAACCGTGACCTGGAGGACTGAGAATCTCCATAGACTTTTAAAACCATCCAATTATTGTCAAGGCAAAGGTAGTCCTCATTTAGCAACCATCATGGGGAGCTGCAAAGCGGTCGCTCTGTAACCACAACTATGCATCTGATCTGACTTTCTGTTGGTTTACAAACTGGCAAGGATGGGTCACAAAGTTTTTTTCACTGCTGTTGTCACTGCAAATAGTTGTTTGTGGTCACTCAGTGAGGACTACCAGTATTAGCAGATCATTTGTTTAAGACAGAGGTCCCCAAACTTGGCAACTTTAAGACTTGTGGACTTCAACTCCTAGAATTCCTCAGCCAGCATAGTTGCAGTTATATTTATATATAGTTATATTTCCCCTAAATGGGAGTGGCTGAAAAAAAGTAGCCAGTTCAAAGTTTTATGTGCTTTTATTTAATTTTCAAGGCACCCTGAGATGGTAAAATACTTCAAAGATATAAGAATATTTCTAGCTCAGAACTGAAGTGTCCTTGGTGCTCTCTGAACATCATTTTCCTGCAAACATTTCATTACCAAGTTAGGTAATATCATCAGTGCTAGATGTTTCTTGGGTAATGAAACATCTGCAAAAAAAACCAGCCAAGCTCAGAGAGTAAGGACCGACACACTTCAAATATATCTACTTAATTCTCAAATCTTCTCATCTTCTCAAAAATAGCAACAGGGTTCAGTTTAACATGCAATTCTCAAACACACGCCCCCTAAAAGTCTGCCTTTGGAAGGAAGCCACCAAGTGAGCGCTATTACCTCCACCATTTGTCACTAAGGAGCTCCCTCTGTGTTCTTGATAATGGCTCTCTCTTCTCAACCTCTGTTCTTTCGTGATCTCTGCCACTCGCAGAGGAAGGTCAGAAAATTCATCTGTCGGCTGCATTAAAAATAAAAATAAAAACCCCTTTAATATTTGACGAAACCTTGGAGACGGAACCTTTATAAGTCTTTCCTGGAAAAAGCTGCACTTACGTCACTGGAGAGTTTTAAAAATACGTACAACCCAAACAGTGCATACAAGATTTATTACTAGCAAATAAAAATTTACTTGGCAGCAAAATTCAATTCTTAGGTTTTATCTCTCGGCTCAGTTCAGTGGATTTCTTAAGGACACCTAAAACTGAATGTCAGAAAAATGGCAGAAATCTACCACAGACTTGGGAGAATTAGGATCCACTTCAAAGGATTTTCCTTGTTTTGGTGTATTTGGACAGCAGTTCAACTGGGACAAATGTACTTTTATTCCCATTGTTGTGGTTCACTGGACAGCAGCGGAATCGGACAGTGGGGAAGAAAGGGGATCAGTCCGGGAGTCTGGAGAGGACTTGGACGAGGGTCCTGCGTCTGAGGCAGAGATGGGGCCAGGACCATCTAGGAGTTGTGTGCTGCCTCTGGAGCCTCTGGAGTCTGGCAGCACCAAGGAAGCTGAAACAAAAGGGGCAACTCGGGAATAAGGCTGGGAAGTGATTGCCCCTCCCATAAGGGATAACGGACAGGCAAAGGTAGAGAAACCTTTGCAGGAAGCAACGTCGTTCACTCTGTTCGGATTAAACCTTGAAGCTCTGAGGGGACATTGTACTCTGTTTGGCTTTTTTACAGTTAATTTGGCACTTTAGTTGTTGGCAGCAATTCAAAGGAGAGAAAGGTGGGTGCTTATCTCGAGGGACTATTTGGGACTCATTACAGGCTGGGAATGGACATTCCCAGCGTTGAAATAAAGCAAGAGTTATTTTGACTAAGCATGTGCTTAATTACGATCTCAGGAAGCCTTGGTCAGAACAGCTATCAACAAATATTTCAACCTACCGCTTCCAAGTTCTCACCATTAGAGTAGCAATTTCAATTTATTCGATTTCAGTACTATTATCAAGGGGGGGGAGACGACCCTTCTCTGAAAGGGAATGACGTCAATGAACTAAACCAAATTTGAAATGACCCTTCTCTTTTTTTCTTTTCTTTGCAACTGTCTTCGCTTGACTGGAGTTTTATTGGAATCAAATATTTGACAGCTTCTTGCCTCCTTGACGTACAATAAGTGGCATAAAAGGATGCTATTGATCAGTGGCTTCCCAGCCTCCAATTTTTTGCAATTTCAGAGACAAAAGTGAGACACGAGAGCAAAATAAGATGTTTCAAGATTACAGCCCTCTGAAATGCCAGATTCTGCCTTGTTCCGCCTCCTTTTCTCCTAAGCTACAATTATCTGCCAGCCGAACGCAAACCAAGCACCCTTACTTCATTTCCTGACCACCTCTTATCTCCGCTGTCGACGCTGTTGAACCCGGAATCCAGTGCTCCGTACGGTCGACTCGAATACAAATCTTCGTGGCTGTCAAAGAGAGAAAGAAAGGAGAAATTCTTGGGGAAATATCTGATATTAGGCAGGAATACAAAGGACACATTTGACCCTTTCCAGGCTGCTTTCTATGCCGAAGGTGATCCTACGAGAGAGGCCTTGTTCTTACAACAGAAATATTTTTTTCTACTTTTCCTCCTTACGCTATTGTGGCACTTCTATTAGCTTGGGCTATTACATGTAGAAGCATTGGTCAACTGTGTAAGGCAGGGTGTGATGGCTCGGGGTGTGGCACAAAGGCAACACAGTCAGATAACCCATAGGAGTCTCTTTATTATCTTCAACTTTGCCCCCAATGTCCAGGTTACCTTCGGCTGGAGAAAAACTCTCCCAGGAACAGCCTTTAAGTGGAGGAAATTCAATCCGAAAACAAAATACATACAAACTGTAACTAAAAATCCAAACAAACCATGCTGCAGTAATTAACTTGACAGGGCAGGAGAAGGAATTGCAGACTTGAAAGCACAGCAAAACACACACAGTTGGGAAGATACCAGATAAATTCACAATTTGCTCCCAACAGCTTGCTGCATGCAGCTTCCCTTTTTAAACACTGTGTTCCCAGTGGCAGCTAATGAAGGGAATCAGGGCCCTTTCCTTCCCCGTAAGCCACGCAACTCATGTAGCTCCCTTCTCTGTTCTTCCCTGCGTGCCCTAGGATGAACAGGGGGTAGGCTGGGTCTTCCTCTGAATTCCCTCTGCCTTGCTCTACCCCTCCCCTGCTCTGCCCAGCCAGACTTTGCCCTTCCCCAGTTTCTTCCACAGCCAATGGAGCTACACTCCTACTCCCTGTCAGCTGCTCGGACTCCCTCTCCAAATCAGATTCTGACAGGGGCACGACACAGGGATCCCCAAACTTAGAAACTCTGTGGACTTCAATTCCAGAAATCCAAAAGTCTTAAAGTTGCCAAGTTTGGAGACCTCTGGTGTAAGGTATGGGTGTGGGTCAGAACAGAAGCCTCCAGACCCTTGGAAAGGCGAAAAACGCTCCTCCAGGAAATACCAGTAGGCCACGCCCACCATGGCCACGCCCACCCAGCAACTGGGCAGCGAACCGGTTGCTGGGATTTTTGAATCCAACCCCTGCTTTTATCCATGAAACTGACTCTATCGCTATAGGCAGAGCCTTGACATAAATCTACTAAGGGCTGAGTGACAGAAACAGATCTCTCCCTCTGCCCACTAACCAGAGAGCTCAACACAGGGACTTTAGAGAGGCCTTATTTAAAAAACTGCTTCGGTCAGCACCCCTGTAACAAAGGACCTCCCCAACCCCCTGCCAGTGGACATTTAACAAAGCATCCTCTGTCGTAACCCCCCAGTCCCCGAGGCCCTAGGGAAATCTGCAGTGGGTCTGTAACAACAGCAACAAGAAGGAGACAGCTTGGCTTCACCCAGGCCTTGCTAACCATCCCGGGCTGGTTGTCGCTTGCTTTAAAAGACACCTTACTGGTGGGAGAAATAATACATGAAATATTGGCTATTTCTACTGCATCCTCCTGTCTTTGCAAATGCCACAACTGGAAGCAACGGACATCTCAGGAAGGGATTTGTGACCCGAAGTGCGTTTCACAGTGTGGACATTTGTGCATTTCCAAGTCGCCGACACCAGGTGGATGAATGACAGGGTGGATTTGATTTAAACCAAGTCGATTTAAATCACTAAGTAAAAAGGCTTGATTTAAATCAACTCAATTTAAATCTTAATTTTTAAAAAGCCACTGTCAATATTGCAGAATATATAGCCTCATCAGAGGTGGTATTCAGCAGGTTCTGACCAGTTCCGGAGAACCGATAGTGGAAATTTGAGTAGTTTGGAGAACCAGCAAATCCCACCTCTGACTGGCTCCGCCCCCTCTATTCTCCGCCTCCCATCGAGTCCCAGCTGATCAGCTGGGTCTCCTTTTGTTGCTCTGCACAGGAGAACGGAGCTGGAAAGCAGGTTAGTGGGGTGGGGAGAGAATGGAGATTTTACAGTATCCTTCCCCTGCCATGCCCACCAAGCCACGGCCACAGAACCAGTAGTAAAAACATTTGAATCCCACCACTGAGCCTCACGCTACATAACTAAGCTCCATTTCATGCTGAATAAACCAAATTATTAATATATATATATAT